CAATTAAGAAAAGAATATTTTATTTACAGTTTTGGAACGGGCCGTTCTGAATCCAGAACGACCCGTTCTGAAAGCAGAACGGGCCGTTCTGGTTTCAGAACTGTCTCGTTCTGCGTCACTGGTGGTGTTTTAATTTTGCAACCAGAACGGCCCGTTCCGGTTTCAGAACGGGCCGTGCCGGTCCAGGTGTTTTAAAAAAAAAATCTCATCCACATGGATGCCACGTATGCATCTACGTGGCATCCACGTGGCCAAAAGTTAACTTCGTTTAAATAATTTGGACGGAAGTCCCACGTTGAAACTAATTAATTAATTTGATACTAAATTGAAATCAATTAATTAGTTTGAGACCAAATTGAGACAAAAAAATTAATGAGGAACTAAATTAAAACAAAAAAAAGATTATAAAGGACCAAATTAGGTTTTTAGCCTATTTGTTATTTGTATAGATAGGGAAAAACGTATGTACATAATAAATTGCAAAACACAGTAAAAAAAAAGAGTCGTGTAAGTGGAAACAAAGGTCCATGCATGTGCCCTAACATGGATATAGGAAGACACGCAATCCCACAAACTTGATTGCCATTTTTGGGTATTTCATTTTCAGCAGTGCTGCATCTCTCTCAAGTTGGTGGATATATTCTCTAAACTTTTTGTTCGAAAACAATTGCTATATATATGTTGTGAATATATAAAACCCAACTTCAAAAATTCAATACCCTAAACGTGTGCATCGCTACAGTAATGACAATATATCCATGATTAATTATGAAGATGTAAGTGGTACTCATCTGCAATTACAAGCAACAGGGTGAGGATATATTAGAGAATTGCTTACTAACAAATCATTCCATTCATTCAGACACAAAAACATAAAAATGAAAGGTTCTATCCATCTTTGGTTCATTAACTACACAAACATTAATGGGGCACAATTTCTTGGACCTTAATCAAGGATTTAAAACATGGCTCTTGGTTACCCAAATGCTAGGTAACTTATGGAACAAATAAACACTTGAATGATGCTCAAACCATGCCTAACACAAAGGAAGCAATTAGAATCGTATAGTGAAGGCGTAGTTACATGCAATGATTTATTTTGGTGTAGTTTGAGTCGATTTCTGGCAATATATTTAAATGGCCGTTAGATGGGGTTTGGGAAAACCAATTACGACATATTAACCACAGCCTCATCCTTCTGAAACCTCAATTTCTGTTTTACTAAACTAATTCGTTGCAATTTTTCTTATGACAGTGAAACTTAGCTTGTCAGCTGGTGGGCTTACTTTCCATGATAAGACACTAATTGAAGTTACCAATTTGAATAGATTATCCCGTTTGTTGACCAACCAGATAGTACATATACTACTCATGGTCATCCAAAACTTTATATAATTGAATATTATGATGATTTTCTTAGTTGCTTTTTCTTAATTATTGACATGTAAATTCACGTTTTAAATATTAGTACATTTAGTTGCCTAAATAGCTTGGATCAAATCATTCATGTACGGCGCACAAAATCACACATATATGATAAATTTAATTCATGATATTTATAAAAGATATTCTAACGCTCAAATTAATTTTCGAAATCAGACAAATGTAATGATAATTAATCCGACACTACTAATGCAAAAGTACCTTTTTTCTTTTTACATGTCATTATTTATACTAACTTCATTGTATTTAGGTCTATAAGAGACCCATTAAGAATTATAGCGTTTTAAATGACTTTCTGAACTCTAATTGTTTTTATGTTTTACCGAAGACTTGTGATTCATTGAAGATTCTTTGATTATTTTACTCCTACTATCACCTTTTGGTATATAATTTTTTATTATAAATCATCATATATGATAAAATTAATTATTTTAAAAGTTATACTAAAAATATTTTTGATCGATTAGCTGCATAAAAGCTTTCAAAAAAACCTACAAATTATTTATATATCCCACTTTTAGGTTAATGGCGTTTTAGTTGTAGGACCTACAAAGGTGTTGGATAGGGGCAATTAGGTCCATAACACAAGTTTTGCAAGAATGGTTGGAGCCTCCATTACCAAACGACATACATGGAGCGTGATTAATTGGATTGAGAGCGCGTGTCTTTCTTTCAATAACATAACAATAAAGATGTCACAGTGAATTAATATGTCCAATTATTATCACTTCTTCTGCTTAGTTAGAGGTAGGTCACATTTAAGACACTCTATCTATATTTGGGTATCATAAGTTTCTGCAACTTTCACTAAATGCACGTGATTAGACTTGGGAGGCATTATTATTATTATTATTATTATTATTATTATTATTATTATTATTATTTTATTTTTTAATTTTGATGCTTGAGAATGGGAACCACCAGATACTGCTGTAAGAACTTTTTGATTAGCCACAGTAGTTCAGCAAAATAAATACAGAAATAAATAAAACCCCATGTTTCTGTTGGGCCGTGCTAGGTTGATTTGGGTTTAGAATTGGGTTTGTGTTATTAAGAAGAGGGCCCAAGAAAGAAGGGGAAATGTTACTCATTTTATTCGTTCACTCAAATCATCTAGAGAGAAAATAAGGTATGTACTAATAGTGCGAAGAGTTTCTACATTATTATAATTTGATTTCAAATCGGCAAGTATGACAAGTTTGGTAATTTTTACGATAATTATCTTGTAATTTTTTTAATGACAAGTTTGTAAGTTAAATCAATGCAATTATATTTTTTATTCATTGATAGTGTAGAATTATATACATCGAGGATGCAAAGATATTAAATCTTCTAATTCTAAACCATGAAAAGGAAATATCCTGCTTTCACTCATATTATAAAAGAAATATTTTCTTTCAAAATTAATTTAAAATTGCTTAAAATAATTTGATCATATAAACTCTAATTATTTTATAATTAGTTTTAACTTAAAACTTTGTTTGGTCAAAAATTTATTCTAGTTATTTTATCTATTTTTAAAAGGTATTTATACTAAGAGATTATAATGCTTATTAATAATCACCCTTTAGATCTAATTGAATGTGATAGGAAAATGATATTGAAAAGGAAGCGAGAGTACGAAAAAAAATCAATTTTATTAAAAAAGAATTACTTTTGACAAGAACCCTTCTTTTAAATAATTATCACACACTGACACACCTCATACTTGAAAACAGACCCAATAACCTTGGGTATATAATACATTTTTTTGGGCCTTAGGCCCTCCTGATAAGAGAGCAATATAATACATTTAAAAAAGCCCAAACATCCCCCAAAACAATCAAAATTTAATAGATCTTTTTTAAAAATAAAATAACTTTTTTAATTACCTAGGACAAGGAGTATCTCCCTTCTTGAACTAATTTTTTCAAAAATTTGACATAAGTGGACATCTCCTTCTAATTTTAGTTTTCAGCATTCCAATATAATTTTATTACTTGCAGATAATTTCATTCCACATGCCAAACCTAATTTAACGTGACCAATGTGTTTTCTTAACTAAAAACTTTCTTTATGTTTGTGAATGTGCTTTTTCAAAGAAGAAAAATGCAAATTTTTAGAGATGGGTTTCTTTTTCTCAGCCGAAGTGGCTTTTGTGGCGTTCTTTTTCATTTGCATGCCCACAAAATTGTATCTATGTAATAGACAATATCTTTAATAATTGAAAAATCAATATGACCCTGAATTTTCTATTTTTATTTTGTTGAACTAAGAATATCCCAACCATGATAAGAGAATCAACCTCCTTAGCTATCAGCATATTTTTAAGACCTTGTTACTCTGAATCTACTACTTTTGAAGTAAATAAATTATCACTTTTATTATTATCTTTTCTTTGAAAAAGAAGAAGAAGAAGAAGAAGAAGGGAACTAAAAATTTCATGTGTGTGGTCTGGGTTAGTTATGGGCAACATGTGCTTCAAAATTATCTTTTGGGCTCAAACTTTTCACTTTTAAAGGAGACGACTCTTATTACAACCCCAATCACTTTTGCCTCCAAAGTCTAAACCCAAACCCACAATTCACCTTTCTCTGTTAACATCAAAAATTAACAATCAACTCCTATTGCTGAAAAGAAAAACTCAATTCTGTAAATTTTAGATCTTTTGAAATTTAATTTTATCTTGATTGAATTTTAAAATGTTCTCTTTTATTTTATATAGACATCTTATTAACGCAGAAGAAATTCTAATTGATTATTTATTTTGTCACACTTTGTTTTTTTATTATAATTTATTTTCCAAATATCAAAACATGATAAAAAAAATATATAAATATACATGTATAACATTTGATCCTCTCAACTCCAATTCTTTTACTTTTTAATATATAGAAAAATATTTATTAAAATAAAACTAATGAATGATTTAAGTTTAAAGTAATTTAGATAAAATAGTATAATTGCTTTTTCCGTTTGTAATTTAACTTTAATTTAATAGAATAGGCTATTTAAATGAAGATATAAAATTTAAGAATTAGTTAAAATGATATTCACGTTTAAAGTATCAATTTATAAGAAAAAGTAAAGTTTAAGAATAAATTAAGATGAAATTAAAATTAAGAATATTTTTTTATAATAATATAGCGTTTGACGAAATTAAAATTTTAAAAAAAAATCATTTACAAAATAAATTAAATTTAGAGGAGCTGATATTTTTCCTCAATTCTTTTCTCTTACTAATATTTGTGATTGGAAAAAAAAAAAAAAAAATCCTCCCATCTTTTTTCTCCCGATTTCTTTCATCACTGCATTGAGAGAATAAATCATAGTTTATACTTTATATTACATGTGTGTTTTTTCATTTCATTTGTTTGTGTTATAATAATAGAAACGGAGATAAAGAAATAGAAAGAATCTTAAGGCTTGGTAATTAAGAATGTTTTGGTAGTCAAAGGATGATGTAAGATGATTCATATATAGAACAGTGAAAAATAATTACGTGAGACGTGTCCATTCAGTGGAGCGAGTAGACGTATATGCCTTTGTGTTTAAAGTTTCAACAGCAACATTAAAGTGTTACTTTTTTTGTTGTAAAATTCTGATCACTCTATTCCGTTTGTGGTTTCCTCTTTTCTAGCTGTCATTGTTTTCAGCAAACCAAAAAAGACTCATTTTTGATAGTGCCCACTTCACATTTCTCACGATCCATAACGCTGACTTCTTTTCTTCTTCATTCCAAACTCTTGTTCTGCTTCTGGGTAGGTATCTCCTCATTCTTTTCATCCTTATGCTTTTATGTTCTGTGTGCTTTCACTTCTTTTTGTTGGGTTTGTCCAACTGTTTTATGGAGTTTTCTACACTTAGCAGAATATCTGAATTGATTTTTTTGTTTTCTTTGTGAATCTCTTGAAACCCTTCTTCCTTATCTCCTCTAACAAACCCCATCTCATATTTGTTTAACTTTGATTATTGAAACTATTTGAGTTGGGGCGATTACTTTCCTTTTATAAATAATATTTATTTGGTCGGTACTCGGTAGGAGCCACCTCCCTTAGTTTTGGACTTTTGGTTGTCAACTCTGGAATATTATGCGGAACATGTCCATAAACAAAATAAATAAATGAATAAATCTGTGAGCTATCAATTTTCTGGGGTTGGATCAATAGTTTCATGCTGGATGTTCCCTTATTTTTCATATACTTCTGAATGTAGACCTCTTGTTACACTTTACTCTTTTACATTGAGACATAAATATATTGAAATTTTACTTGGGAATAATAAATCATACCTATAAAAAGACGTAACACTGCCAATCAAGGTTGCATGTCAATTTTCTAGTATTTGGAATGATAGCAATTCAATTCATATTTCAATATGTGGCATTGACTTGTTATGTGTTATGCATCAATTATGAATTATGACATGTGGCATCAGTTCTTACCTGGAGGCACCTATCACAGGTTGACCCTTGTTGCATCCCTGCCAAGTTGCTATTTAATTAGAGTGGCTAGTTAAAGATGCTTTATCCTATTCTTGACCTATCTCATATCTCATATCCCTTCCTATGATATATGGTTTTTGTTATTTATAAACTTTTATACAAGAATTTTGATAACAATTGAAAATGTTGCTTAGTGACAACTTGGATATCATTGTTTTGTAGAGGTCAGTGTTCTGAATGATATTTGGTGTTGGTGCAAACTATTGTTCACTTGTAGCAAAACCTGCTACTTCGTAAGAGGTGATAAGAAAATGCAATTGTATCATCATCCATTTGATTTGGACAGTCAGAAGGTGAGACTTGCCTTGGAAGAGAAAGGCATTGATTATACATCTCACCATGTCAATCCCATAACCGGCAAGAACTTGGATTCTTCATTCTTCAAGATGAATCCCGGTGGAAGGCTCCCAGTTTTCCAAAATGGCTCTCACATAATTCACAAAACTATTGATATAATCCGGTATGCTCTCTTCACAACTTATTCACCATCCTGTTATTCTTCCTTGAACAAATGTGTACTAAAAGAAATTTCACTTTGAAGATTTATGCAGCATTAGAAGCTACCCAATCTGATTGCTGACAAAGTTGCTCTCTTCGTATTTATTAGGAATTGAATCTTCTCATGATGAATTTTCATGTTACCATATCATGTGAAAATTTAGTGTCTTTTTCCGTCTTAATAGAAATTAAATAGGTGAAGTCATATTAACAATTGTGTGCATTTAAGAAGAGAAAATATTTTTACATGATATGGTCGTATGAAAATTCAATGATCCATTCTGTATTTATCATAATTCTCCAAACCAATTCCTTTTTCGTAACAATGACATTGGTACGAAGTATTCACAACTGAAAGTAGTGACTAATCTCTATTGGCATCTCAAATGCAATTCCCTTGAAGCAACCTATTCTAGTGCTTTTATAAGAAACAAGTGATAATGTTATAAACTTTAAATTGTTTCTTATAAAAAAGACCAGAGGGAGTATTTTACTTTGGATAAAGGAGTATTTTTTGAATGGTCACTGAACCTAAATGTCGAACTTGAAATTACTTTCAAATGCTTTTGTTATAAGTAGACATTTGATAGTCCCATTGGATTTTCAGGTACATAGAAAGAATTGCTGTCTTCTCCTCGGGGTCTGAGAATATCACTACCAGTAGCAGGGAAGTGATTGAATGGATGCAGAAGATACAAGAGTGGGATCCTAAGTACTTTTCCCTTTTCCATATACCAGAGAAATACAAGATATATGTTTCAAAGTTCTTAAGGCGAGTGGTGATTGCTCGAATGTCTGAGTCTCCTGAATTAGCAGGTGCTTACCATAAGAAGTTAAAAGAAGCCTATCAGACTGAAGAGAAACTGAAAGATGCAGATGTTTTGAGAAGAAGCAAGGAGCATTTGAATGGTCTGCTTGATGAAGTAGAGAGGCAGCTAAGTGAAACACCTTATTTAGCAGGTCAAGAGTTTACCATGGCTGATGTGATGCTCATTCCAGTGTTGGCTCGTTTAACACTCTTGGATTTAGAGAATGAGTACATAACTTGCAGGCCAAACGTTGCTGAGTATTGGGTTTTGGTTAAGCAGAGGCATAGTTATAGGAAGGTGATTGGTAGGTATTTTGATGGTTGGAAAAAGCACAAGACATTGGTAAAAACTTGGTGCTTTGTTCGTATTAGGAGTTTGCTCAAGAGGTACTAGCGAGGTACATATTGGTTGCTAAAAGGAAGTTGCATAAGTGAATATATGAAAGAGCTTCTTGGTGTGTTGTTTGTAGATAAGGAATTATAATAAACCGTGTTCTTTGTTTTTATTTTCCCTTTTTGGTTTCAACAATCTTTTCTTTTCTTTTTTTTTTTTTAATAGAGGAGAGTACGAGAAAAGGGGGATTCATTTTTCTTTCTCCCTTGCCAAATGGTGATGTTAGGTATGTTGGGAGCACAAGGTGGGTTAGACACTGGAGAGAGTTCCCTCAATGAGTCAAGAGTAAAATCACACAAGTGAACTATACCACATTTTAATCTAAAACTTTAAAACATCATATTTATAGATCTTTCTTATTTATGTTACTCAACATATCCAACTTCACTATATCAGGTTTATTGTTCCACGGAAGGGAGATCGAGGGATGCATGTTAGTGGTTAGTCTCAAAAAAATCTTGGGACTTGGTTGGTACTAAAACAACTCCCGTTGCCATCTTTCTACATTGTCAAAAGATGTAAATTTGTCTTTCTTCAATCAATTAGCAATTTCTGTGCAATGTTGTATACTGATATAGGAAGAATTCCTTCCTATGAGGATTGCTGCTTGTTATGTGTACAATTATTTTGGTATTTAGCTAACAATAAAGTCATTTCAATCGCTTCGGTCTTCAAAACAGAACCCTCTGGTGATATGCATTTTCTTCTTGCTTTGTTCTACGAACATAAAAAAGAAAGTTTCAGTTTATAATAAAAATGACACTGTTACTATTTTTTTTTTTTTTTTTGTGATAGACCGTTGATTATCTAATCGGTGTATATGGTAACTGATACTCTGATAGTTTGGTTAGTTTATGAATTTAAAAGTTATCCGTATTTATTATAATAATAATAATAATAATAATATATGGATTATAATCATTTCACGAAGTGTATTTCCCAAGAAAAAGATAGATGGTACTATGGATTTTAAATGAGTGTATAATTTGAGGTGTGAAGAAATCTGAATTGAATATTTCTGATTTTTTAAATAGAAATTAATTTTTGACCCAAATAAAAAGATATTACACTTGCTCCTTTTTAACTTCTAATTTTTCAAGAAAAAAAACGCATTTCTTGTTATGTCATTTTAAAAGTTTAAGATAATATGAATTATTATTTTATGAATTATATACTTACTTTCAACTGATTTTTAATTATCTTATACTCTATCATGAAATTAAGGAGAGAAACAAAAAATAATAAATAACATAAATTAATTAAAAAGTTAAACAATTGATATAATAAGACAAATGCTAACTGATTCCCTTACGAGACTAGTTCATAAACCAAAATTGATTTTTCTTTATTAAAAAAGATATTTCAAATGCATTCGTAATGTGATTTCCAATAACGGTTAGCAATTTTCTAATAGAAAATCATATAAATTTAAATGAAAAAGAGAAGAATAATTGTATTTCTTGATTTCTATCCAATAATCTTAATATTTTTTGTTACGTACCACAATCTTTATTGACACTTCAAAAACAAAATGCAGCCGTAATGGGAAATTAAAAAATAATCAAACTATACTAAAAATAAATGATGAAACGAGTACTGTTAAACTAGTTTCAGAAACACTTTTTTGTTCTTTCTCTGGATTTATAGATGCGTTATTTATATCATACAAAAAGGATAAATTTGACTGAAAAGCAAAATACATTTTCATGTGTAATATTTATATATTAATGTTCAATGAATCCAACTCTTAAAAAAAAATATTTATCTCAAAGATAAGGTAAAAATTCAAATAATTAAAGATCGTGACTTTAATAACTATACTTTGCGGTACCTCACTTTAGAGGAGTTTTCCTTATTTAATTATTACAATTAAAAAAAAGTGCAGCTACATGTTGTAATAAAAAAATCATTTAACATAGTTATTTCTAGCATAAAAACGTGATTATTCGCAAGCCATTCCCTCCAAGTCTCCAAACAGTGCTGGAGTTATTCAAGTAGGGCAAATAATGTATCAGCACATTGGTTTAGCCTAACCATATGATCCCCAACAACGTACATTTGAAACCATTGAAATATTAACATGTAATGTCACAGAGATAGAGTTAACATGCTCACAGATATAATCCAATTTTACAGTGGGGAAAATACACGAGAAAACGCACTTCATAAACCTACATGGAGAAACTGCAAAGAATATCGGGTTTTCCTTGGAAGTTGGACTTGTTGCCATTTCATACTCTTCACTCACCCCATTGCTACAGATCTTGTACGAAAAGTTTGTGCTTTCGTGAATCCAAGTTTCAAACAACGGAAAGGTCACGATGTGGTCAGGTTTAGTGAGCAGAGTAACATTAATAATTGAATAGAACAAATCCAGCCAATCACAAAAGTGTCAAGAACAAAACCAAAGATGTCAAAAAGCAGCTGATTATGGCAAATTCTTCAATTTTGTCAAGTTCTAATTTTTATTCTATTCTCTAGTTTAATAACAAAAGTGCATCTGTGGTTTACTATAGAGGAAAGGTATGGAAATAACCAACATGAATAAATAATAAATGTTGTTTTTCCAATTTGTTAGACATAATATCATTAGCATTAACCTAAAAGCATAAAACTTTAGCTTATTAATTTTGATATAGTATCAGAATCTCTATGCCTTACAACTCTCAACTTTATAGTAAAAGAAAACTTATAAAATAAGTAAATGCATACATACATAGAAAATGTTAGAGGTAAAAAAATTTTAAAAACACTTTGAAAAAGGAAAAATAAGAAGAAAAAAATAAAACAAATTCTCCAAGTTAAATCTATTTTATTCATAAGTTAAAAATAAAGATTTTGAAAACTAATAAGAAAGAACTTCAACAAATTAACTTGTAAAAAAACTTATTTTATTTTCTCTCTTATTTTTCTCTTTTGAAAGTACTATTTTTTTTAATAAATTTATCCAATCATATCCTTTTTCGATCAAACATACACAAATGGCTTTTACTCGAATATGTATATTAGATATAAGAATTTAGAATACTTAGTAAAAGTAAAGGTTTTTCATATTCTCAACCAACCTGGATTGTCATCATTGTAAATCATCAACTATTTTAAAAGACATACCTAGGGTGTTATGTTGGTTGCGCAAAACTCTACACCTACTGAAACAATTTTTTTTTTCTCTTTTACTACTAAAAAAATGAAAATCAATAAATTCTGGGTAGTTTTCCGCAGAAGAAAAAAAAACCAATACCCTGCTCTCAACCTAAAATAAAATTGCCAATCATTAACCATTTCTAGTCTAGTAGAAAAACGGAAATACCTATCTAAAACTAGAAACGTTTCTTCCCAAATTCTCGAGACATTCACAGGTATAACTTTGAAGCTTTAAAACCTTATAAACACCTGATCTCCTAAAAGAAAAGAAACAGTTTTAAAAAAGAATCTAAACTAAATGAGACTAGCAGAAAATAACGATCTTTTGGGTTCAAATAATCAGACAAGTAACATAATAGCAAGGGAATTAATCATTACTCTTACTTATTTGTAAATAAAGATAACAATTGCCCATCAGCTTCAGTCCACTCACTTATTAAATGTCAAGAAAACGTTAAAACAAACAATTCTTGTCTCATCAATGCTGTGCATTTCCATAAGAGGTTTTCCATTTCGGAGGGTTACAAGTCTAGAGAAACACCTACCTCTTGAAGGCTTGGGCAGATCGTATTAAGAACAGCAGGATCCCCCCAAGTAGTGTAGTAACTGAAGAAGAGGAATGCTGAAATTGAATGATATTTTCATTGAATAATAGATTCAGGAACAAATGAATTGACAGTACATTAATGTATATGGAAGAAAAAAGAAAAAAAAAATCTTTTTCCTGTGAACAATATTGATATTGCTGCTGTGCATGCTAATAAATATTATTGCCACCTTTCTCCTCTCTACAGATTGCATCCTCCGCATCACAAGTAACTTTTGACTCTTTTGGTACATCTACATCTATACTGCACATATCACCACTAGAGTTGTTCTCATTACATTCCCATGCATTCTTCCTGAACCATGGTCGATGTATTTTTGAGTTATTCCATTTCTGCTGTCTAAAATACCTCGTTCCCAAATCATTAGAGTCACCCTTCAATCGTTTAGTTATGTGTTTATTGTCCTCGAACAGAAGGTTCGAGTCTTCAGGGTTAGCACCGGTTGTGCTGGGAATCATTTCATCTGAGCAACAATTAACCACACCACTGGTATCCCAACGCTTAACTTCAGCAGGTTGATCAATTATCATAGCATTAGTAGTATTAGAAGGTTGACAGTCTTTGTCCCGCGGATATGGGGGTAGTGGAGGGAATGGGTTGAAAGGCATGCCAGGTGCAGTCACCCAACACTCAGAAAATTCAGCATGAGGTGTTCCATATTGCTGGGCAACAGACCATGGCATTCCATATGAGATAGGCAAGCGAGAGTTAAATTTCTCTTTAGGATGACCGATAACTAAATCAGGGGGACATCCAGAACGGCTTGCATTTTGCAAGACAACATTACCAGAGTTTAGGGAAGTATTTAATGAACCTATTGGACACGAAAACCCTGGTGGAACATCCTCATAAATGTTCTGGCTTTCACCAATAGAGCTCATAACTGCATCAGAATGTGAGTTTGTCTCTGCTGGTTGATCCCATCGGCTTTTGCGCTTACGTTTTCTAGCTCCTTTGGTTTCAACCCCATCTCGAGACTGTGCAGGACAGCCTTCCTGGGCATCAGCATCTACTGGAGCTGTCACAAGCATTGACTGCTGACTGCCATCAATTGCTTCTGTAGTCCTTAAATCCTGCTCATGCCTATGACTGTGTGATGCTGAAAATCTGTTACCGTTGAAACTTCTGTGAGATTCCACTCTATTATCATCCCTGTCCATATAACCGTGTTTTCTTATGGGCCTCGGAAACCATCTGTCTCGAAAGCTTCGAGCAATTTGATGGACCTACATGTGCAAACAAAATGAAAATATTGAATTTCTTGGCCCCGAAACAGATATATACACAAAGGGTTAAAAAAAATCTATAAAAGCATGCACTTGTGTACACCATAGAAACGAACGAGTGAGCATAACAGATACCTGTTTGTCATCATGCTCTGTCAGAGAAAGCATAGACTCTCTAAAGCTGAACACAAAAAACAATCATTAGTATAGGAATAGTAGCTTAAAGAGAAACAGAACAATTTCATCGAAGTTATAAGGAAGAAAAAAGGGTATCTGCAGGGAGAAATAATTACAACATCTCTTAAAGTCAAAAAACTGCAAGTGATTTGAATATTGGCAGTAATGAAATGCTTGATTCCACATTCAGGATTCAAGACACAAACTTTCAAGTTCAACAATAAACAAGGACAAAGTTATGAATAGAACTAAAACGAAACAAAAATCTATGTACACGATGAGACATGAGTACCACGAATTAACAAAATCTTCCATTCTAATGGGAAGAATATATCTGCAAGACTAATATTCTTTAATATTTCAAGCACAACAGAATACCAATAATTATAGATAACCACTAAAAAATGTCACATCGACGTAGTAATGCTATGAATAAAATGCAAAAAATAAATAAATAAATATATATATATATATATATATATTTTGTAAGAGATTCTACATCTCCCTGTTATCTATACAATATCTTTTGGTCATTATACTTTAAAATAAGCTTGAGAATTGAGATACTGAGATATTAAGGGTAGGCAACAACCCATTCATTTCAATCACAGAACTAAGAAAATTATAAATCATCAATTGATTCAATTCACTCCTCCAAAAAAATATGGCATAGGAAAACGATGATGACTTGATGCAACACATCTCATGCTTCCAAGTAGTTGAAAATAACCTTTTTTGTAGCTGATGTCACTCATACTAGCCAAAGAAAAAAAAGTGATGAAGAAAAAATCATAAATGAAAACTGCTACAATATTCAGTCCCTACACAACAATCTTAACATTTGACAAATATCACAATTGCTTCAGTAAACTTGGTGGATGATATAATTTGAGATTTCTGACCTCTCCATTCCATGACAAGGGGGACCACCATTAATATGTTCAGATGTCAATATCTTATTTGCTGCTAGGTACTCCAAGACCTGCAAAAGAATGTTGATCAGGCAAGGACCATATATTCTCTTAATACACGCTCAGAATGAGAGAATGAAAACCAGACATCAAGAAAAGATTAGGATCTACCGGCCATCAACTAATTAACAATATAGGATGGTCAAATCTATTTGCCTAATCAATAATTACCAGATTGAACCTTCTCTATATTCTAACATTGAAACTGAATGATTAGAGAAATTGGCCAACATCAAAATGAAGGGCAATAAAATATTTTATCATCATGTATATGTCAAAATATGGTGGCCATTGGACAAAAGTTGAAAAATATATATTTACCTTTTAGGTAAATAAAACAAATAGCGTCATAATATCATAACATGCAGAGAATTCAACACAGCAAGTCTTTGGATGGGATGTTTTGAGAGGAATTCAATTTGAATTAGATTTAAATTTAAAAGATCATACATCAAAATGACTTTTTGGATATCAAATCCAGAGAACTTTTAAAATGATGGGAATTTTATACGGATTTTTTTTTAAGTAAAACAAAAAGATTTTGAATAATGCCTAAAAAAGGAAACTTGGATTCCTTCAGCTTCCAGTCTCTATCTTCGTGGCACCTCTCCCCCTCTTACACACCCCTTTTTCCCTTCCTCTCCCAATCTTCCACACCACTTTCTCCCCCTCTCTATGGTGACTCTTTCTCTTCTCCTTTCCTCTCCAGTGAAGCATTAACACCAAATACAGACACTTTGCAACACTCTAATGCCTAAAATATAGGAAATTGGGACACTGCAAAAGAAATATATTCACCTTCTCAAACCAACTTGCTAAATTCTACAGTTTTCCCGTGATAATGAGACTCAAAAGAATGAGGCATTATTTTTTTTAGTATTGTACATTATATTTCAAGTTGACTTTTTCTAAAGGCTAAAAAAGGAATTTTTTAATAATCTGTGTCCATCAATATGGAGGTGTCTATTAGTGTTCGAGCCGGATGGAGGTCTTAATGACAGAAATGTGCCCTACACCGAACACTTAAACAAGAGAGGTGTCCATGTTTAATCTCTTCTGTGCAACTCTCTGACATCTTTCTTCTGCATCCTACCCTCCCCCCCTTTCTCTTCCATACCTCTCTTTATCCCTATCTATTAAGAAACTTATTTGTAGTTAAGAAATAAGTTTATGCTTCAATTAATAAATAAATAAAATATCAATATTTTTTCTTGTTAAAGATTATTATCATAGTCACATTATGTTAGAAATCAAAATACCAAGTACTTAATATTTGAGATTTTAGTTGTTGATTATCTATGAAAAAACAATATAACTAATCAGTAATCTAATTTTAAAACTATTTTCTGAAATTTTTGTCACTTAAAATTGACTAATGATTACTTTTGGTAAAAAATTATATTGAAATATCAGTTTTTAAATAAATTAATTAAAAAAAATCACTTATAATGAAAATTAAATTACTTTGTCCAATAAAAATGATAGGAATTTAATTGAAGCAATTAAATCACTTATAATGCATTTTAAATTCCTTAAGATTTTGAAATTATCTATTCAAACACTACATAAAGATTTCTATTGCTTAGAAAGAACAATAGTGGCATGTCAGGATAAATACGGTCTCCAACTGCTCAACAAACCATCCCTATTTTAGTATCATAATTAAAGCACACATACTCCTTTAGGATGCATATGGTAGAATATATTTTTTTTTCATGTCCAAGAATCGTGATTTTTATGAATGACTAAAATGTTTAATTGGCCGTAAATATTGGACATACTTGTATGGTTCTTAGGAATAAAATATTTTTACATTTAGTTTAAATAGAACTTTCCTAGAAACTTTAATTATTTTACCACATTAAATGAATTAATGAAGGTAACATGATAATTTTACAGCAGTAAAACTTTTCTTTTAGCTCTGGAATATTAGATTTCCACCACTTTGGAACAATTTTGTGGGGAACACAGGTAAAAAAAATATTCACAGGAAACATTATCTTATTTTAAAATAATAAAACAAACATGAGAAACTAACATTCACAACTTCAAATTCATGGAAAACTAAAAACCCTGTATATCAAACACCCCCATAGATGTAAAAATACACATCCTATGATTCAATGGCATGCATTAATTTGAAATACCAGAATGCCATATATATATATATATAACATCTTAGGAAAAAGGAATATAACAAACAAGTAAAAGGAGTCATTTCCCATCTAAGCACCTTAAGAAGCTTCCGTAGTATTGGAATTTTTTTGAAGTCCTGCCTGTACTGCTTCATAATGTTATGTAACATCTGTAAACCTGAAAGGCAACACTATAGTTACTTCTAAACACAACCAAAAGTGTGATGAGTTTACACGTTTCAGATATATGGGGAGAAACTGCATTACATAGAAAGCAAATATATATTACCATTTTTGTTAATTATATCATTCAGCACTGCTCGAGATTTTGTTTTCAGAAGTGCGTCAAGGATCATGGAAAGATCTCGATTGCTGCAACCAAAGTTTAAAATTTCCTTTACAAAGTATTTACATGCCCATGAAACATTCAAAAATCTAATATAAGTTTGCATAATGTGCCTAATGAAACAGAAAAGGAAGAGAAGAGAGGACCTTTGAATTGCTTCACCATTGCTTCTATCACCTGATGCCACAGTGAGAAACAAAAGCTTCAAGTACCCTTTGGTGGCATCCTGTTACAAGAAAAAGGGTGAGGGCAGTCAAATACTGAAAACCGGAAAACATAAAACTGCCAGGTAGTTAGCCCCATAATACCTCCAATATCAAGGCATTCAAGAACAATAACAAAATTGAAAGAAATAAAAAAAATATAAAAAAAAACACACACAACAGAAGACACATAAACTATTTCTCATAATTGATTACAAGACAAACATAAAACTATTTCGGCTGACATCTCTTGCTTTGTTGCGTAACTAATTTTAACTGTGGGAAATCGCACTATAGCACACATGCCTCTAGCTTTCAAATAAATGTCCCTATTTGAAATATGTTCACTTGGATACTATATAATTATAAAGTACTTACTTTTCTTTTGCTTATTCCGCCATCTCCATCCAGCAACTCATTAAGTTTCTCCTGAACTGCAGGTAACAAAAAGGTTTATCCATTATAAATGGTTTTAATAACCAGGATACCAAACAAATGTGGATGACCAACCTGCTTCAAACCGTCCATTGGAAGAACCTTCTACTTTTTTGTGTTTGATAGATGACACCTGCAATCGATTGGCTATTACCTCAGATTTAAGGCCATTCGGTGGATTGGCATGAAGCTTTCCCTTTTTAACAGAACCATTTAACTTGGATGTCTTCCTGCCTTCAATTATTTCAGACTTTGACTCCCTAATACTACCAGTAGAATTTGGTAACATTTTGCTGACAGTTGCAAGGGGAGAAGTAGTCTCAAATCTTTGAAGTGAAGAAGTTTTGTCTGCAAAATCTGATTCCTTTTCATTTCCTTGTACAGCAGGCATGGGTTTGCTTGTTTCATCCTCCATTTGTTGATTACTTTCCTCATCTTGAACAGAAGATGGTAACTTGGCCTTGTCCTCCATTTCTACTGAGCTGTGCGACAGAGAAACAGCAGGGGCAAGGTTTGTAGAACTCTCTTTCTCTGGAGAACAATCTGAATCTACAGCAGTTGTAGACTTGTCCAATATGTCCTTGTTATTTAACATATGTTTAGCAGATTGTTTATCAACATTATTAAAATATTTGGGTGTCGGTAGAGCATCTTCAATTTCACCATCTTCAGTAAGCATAACAGGTTCGGGAAATTCATCTTCTGAATCACTTTGAACTACCAGTTCAGCAAGTGGATCACCACCACCTATATAACCTCGACAATTAGGTGAACCACAATAACATTTTTTGGCAGCAGCACCAAAAACCCTTACATAGTTGTAATCAAATGTCAATTCTTCATCCTGGGGAAGGTAGTGATAAAAAAGTTCAGCTTGGCACAGAATAATATTTACACATGCTTACAGCCCAAATAAAACATTTAACACTTAAGTTTCATAATCTAAAACTCGTAAATCCCCCAAACTAACACCACAAATTCTAACCAATGTAATTTTTGTTGGAGTGGAACTCAGAGTGTAAAGAACTTAACTCCCTGGGAAAGGGAAAAAGAGCCACAACCATTAATCATCCAACCTTCTGTTCAATTATGCATTTCTGTCTCAAATGGCCAAATATTTCTATATTTCATCTGTAGTGGAGAAGCAGCCATAACGAACCATTTTCATACTTGTAGTTTGAAATTAAGTAAATAGATTCACATTTTCTCACATGTTTATTAATCACAATACACAACAGTCATGCAAATAAAAAAATAAATCAAAGTTACTATTTAAATTTGCAAAGACACAATTTGAAACTAGAAGCTACAAAGTTCTGCAACACAAAACAGCAACAAACTTCCATGCGCACACATGAAAGTAGCAAGTGGAAGCTGAAAGCACACCTGCTTAATATCCCTCAATGCAAACAGTCCAATACAGATTTCCCCGTTCACCATCCACTGTCAAAAAAGGACCAAACACAAGGTCAAGTGATAGAAAACAAAAGGAATAATCATGAATTTCATGCTCCAGGAGCAAATATGTGCAAAAATGGCATTAAGAATATGTTCTGGTAAAGCATAGATCCAATATTACTAGTATAAGGTAAGCAGCATGCAACACGTAAAGCAAGAAAGAATAGTTCCCTATATAAAGAAACTGCTTCTCTAGTACTATCACCTTACTTCAATAAACCACAAACTGCATGTAATAATATACTCACCTTTTCTGTCCGACAATTAGGATCACAACTATGATTAATGAAACGCCCCAAGTTTCCTTTTGCACTTGCATCTATCACCTGAAAATAAAGAAATGTGAATGGCAAAGTAGATTTAAATATTAGCTGAAAAAGCTACAAATAAGGAGATGCAACAAAATTATGATGCAAATAGCAAAACAATTGGATTAGTAGCTTAAACCAACCCCAGAAAACCAGTTTGAAAGATGAGGATTATCCAAGCTTTATAGCTAGCTCTATTTAAGCCATATCTCTAGTCAATGTGGGACAAAACCACTACCCTTGAGGCTGCAATTAAGACAGCCCCCAAAGAGGCTACAACTAAGGTGGGCCAGGGGTAACACTGAAGGAAGGGAAGGGAAGAGAAATCCTGCAGCATATGCATGAAATGAACTAAAAGAGAAGTTAAACTACAACTACTATCTATTGATGTAAATAATTTTGTTATGTAACATGCTATACTGAACAAATCCAGGTGTGTTTCTAACCAGCAAGGTACTCAGAACCACTAGAAGTAAATATTAAAGTTTTTTACTTTGCTAAAACAAACAAATAAAGTTGCTTTTGCACAGATACAGGTTACATTCTTACCTCACTGCCATTCAAGGTCATAAAATAGAAATGCCGATGACCCTTCAAAGCATACTCTCGTTGCCGTGCCTCGTAGGTTTGCATATCAAGCACCTGTTTGGACCATAAATTCAATATTTAAGTACCTAAAGGTAAATGATGTGCACAAGCAGTGCATCACCTTTTCATATACAATACAGATCACATCCATGCCCATAAATAGAATAGCAGTGCAAATTCTAACTCTAGATATAACATAATCCATTAATTACAGAAACTAATCTGCTTAGAATACTCCTCCTCTGTTAACAAGAAAAGTAGGTACATTGTTTGATAAGCTAGTGAGGTTGGGTGGTTCTAAGTGGATCAAACCCAACCTAAAAAAGAAAAACCATGTTCTTTGTCCATGAAGGCCCAATGAATTTTCTCACGTTACTACAGCATTAGATCAATACAATATTCTTTGGTTACTACTCGGCCAAAATATTAATATTTTTCCATGGCTCTTTACTGCTATTTAAAGAGCAATTCAATTAATTACCAAAAGAAACAAGACGAACTATCTCCATCTTGATGATACAAATGGTAGTGATTAGTTAAAATTAAATCAGCCCACTCCCCACTGATTGCATTGCTAATACATCAGTTAGCAGCATTACATCATATAATATTTTTTTCTGCAACAAAAAGAATAGATAGGAGGATGACAAACAATATATTGAGGGTAAAGAAACAAATGAGAAGTATATAGTTGAGTAAGACAAATCCAACATAACTGAACCTATTCGTAAAAGGTAACATTGGTTCTTCCTTCCCCAAAAACTTCAGCTAAAATATAGAACCAAAGCATAAATATGAGCATAATTTTTATATTCAGCCTCAACAGTCAATATTTCATGTATAATAATAAAATAGTAAGTAAAATTGTTAAATCAGCATAGGGATAATAAAAATGAAGAGAAATATTGTATGCATTACCTCTCCAACATATTCAATAAGAAACTGGCCTTGAGCTACATTCTCTATCGCCTTCAGTCCATAACCCTTTTTCCCACATTTAAACCACTTCAAGCAAGCATACTTGCGTTTTTGGAACTGAAATCAAACATTTGTCCAACCATCATGCCATTTGGCACCACTTGACAAAAAGACCAAATACTAGTATGTTTTAATATTAATAGTTTATAAACCTGCTGGTTGGAACAACGATCCCCACATGGGCAAGTTCCTTGTACACATTCGATGTTAAGAATCCGATTTAGACATTCATCCCCACAGCCAAATTTTCCTTCTTGAGGCGGCTTGCAATGACAGACCATTATCTGATACAAGTTCAAAGGTGCAATGAATCAGGAACATAGGACTGATTCACCAATTTGCTAAGTCCAGAAATCTTAATTGAAACCTAAGTGCTATCCATTATGATTAAATAATAAACCTCAATCAAAATGTAAATAAAAACTATTCATGACTTGTGAAAGCAAAAGAAAGACATGTATGTAATGTAGCAATTGGAAGCAAGATGACAAAGTATAAAGTTCCTTATCATACATAAGAAAATAATATAAGCAACAATTTATCCCATCCTCTGCAGGAGCACACCAACAATATAAAAGTACAAAAAAGTTGAAATCAAATATGTTGGTATTTGCTCTTCATGTTGAACAACTATGATTCAGATGGACCTCCATGATCCTATGACCTACTTATTTCATATTTATTTAAGAAAAACAATAATAAAAGGAGAGAAATTTGAAGGAGGGCAACGAAACCTCCTGGAATAAAACATAATGCATATATACATAATAAGAAAGAAAGAACATATGCACATCAAAGCTCTTAGTCCCTCTGCTAGTCAGAGAAGGAAACCCACATGATCAGTTTCATATTTAAGTAACATGATCACTTGATACTAAAACCAATACAACGATCCAAATAATGTAATATGATAATATTTGTAATAAAAAATAAAAATAAAATAAAAAACTAGAACAATCACATACCTCGTCAATGGTCTGACTTTTGTGGCTACGATGAAGAAATTCATTGGTGAAAATATGGGTAAAAGAAGACTCCTGGGAAACTGCAATGTATAAAGCAAATTAAACATCAGACAATAAGATAAAATGACATTCCTAAAACAGTTTACCTTCAAGCTTAGATTTCATTTTAAAAATAAAAATAAAAAACTTGTTAACAAACGTAACATACCAAATGGAGGCCGATATTCTAATTCCTTAAAATTTCTGCAGCCTTCATATGCATCTTCTTCACCTGACGCGTCAGATAATCCCAACTCTGCATTAATCTCTGCATTTGACTTTTCTTGAGGGATAGCACAGTCAGCAAAGGCTTTATCACTGCTGTCCGCACATGTCCTTAAAAATGGATATCACCCATGTCAAGATGCAAGTTTTTAAACAGGGAATAATATGTTAAGTTAAATTGTTTAATACATAATATAATTAAAAAAATTGAAACATCAAGAAAAACATCTATTCAAAATAACAGTAAAGAATGAAAACAGAATGAAAAGTTTGGAGAAATGAGGTATTGTAGATGCAATTGGGCTTTTAACTTAATTAAAATCAGCCCAATAGTCTTCTTAGTGTACTTTCAAAAACTCCAACTTCTAAAAACTCTCGTTTTACAAGTGATTGTTTAAAAACTCACTCACATTCTTAAAAGTCACGTGCCAGTTTTAAAATATTTGCACATGACTTTTTTTAAACCGGATTTCACATGAAAACCCTAGTGTTGCATTGTCTTCTACCTCTTGCCGCCGCTGCAAATCATTGCAACTCAAGATTGCAACTCGCCACACCCACCTAACAATGCATGCTGTGCCATGAGACATAAGGCGGCCACAGTCACCTTAATAGCAGACTCCGCAACGCAAAGTCGTCACAATTGCGTGTCTGCTGAAGTCTGCTACACAAGAGTGTTATAGCACCACTATAGCTACTATTTGAAAACAATGATTACAAGTGAAGTCAATTGTGAAAATATCAATTTCTATACTAACCCTAACATACAAACAAATACACGACTAAATCATATTCTGCCTCTTCAGGTTCTATTCAAGAATTATAGAAAAATAGTGAGTAATATGATTGAGAAACATGGTATACCAGGTGCAGTTAGTTTCATCAATTAGGTCTGCAAGCCCAGCTGGAATTCGCCGCCACTTGAGACAATCATCACAACGCACCCATGCATTACGGGGAGATAGAAGTTGCTCCCCCAATCCAACACCGGACGGCATGTCCAGATTAGGTAAATTGACTGATACTCTGTTGTTATCAGCATTAATTTTTCCAACAGCATCCAACTTATGATTTCCAACATTTACTTCTGAGAGAAAAAATAATAATAATAATAATAATAAATAACAAATCCTATTTATATTTAATTGCTCAAACTTTATAAATAACGCATAAGAATAATAAGATAAAGCAAGTTTTAGATAGTCAGGAAGGAGCTAATGTCTGTCTCAGATGATTCAAAAATACAGAAAATAATATCACATATGATGCTGTCTATTTGACACAAAAAACTACCTGGATGTGGGCGATCTTCTGCTTCACATGTGACATTAAGAGAGACACCTTTTCCTTTGACTTCATTCTTATTAATTGGCTTTTTCTGTTTCTCCTTGTGTGTACAAGTACTCTTTTTCCTGCCAGTTGAGTCAGAAGCTTTAGATTTGGTCTTGCTAACTTTACTAGGTCTAAGCCTTTTAGGTAGTTTACGCCCCAAAGGTCTTGCAGAACACAGCAAATTCTCAGAAGCCGGGAATTCTGAAAATCCATGGTCAAAGGTTGGTTTGCCACCTGTCTTAACTTCCATGTGATTTTTAACTTTCAAAGCCTCAGTGGAACCTCCAAGTTCAGTCTCTCCAGAAGGGAGCAATGATTCTGAGGACGAATCTTTAGTGCTCACTGATTTGCTTATCTCAGTGAAAGTAGGCAATTCCAAAGAGCTAGCTGCATCCCTGCTATTTTTCTTACGTTTGCGATTCTTTGAATGCTTAGCCCTACTATTCCCAGGTGGACCTTGTGATCCATCTTCAGTGATACAATTACTTGAAGAAATAAGTTTGTCTTTCTTCCTCCCTCTCTTGTTGAGGATAACATCCACTTCAGGGTTCAACTTTTTAGAAGAACCTAAAACAGCATGATGTACATCTTCTTGCTGTCTTTCTCCAACCTGGACTTCGGGAATTGAATTGATAACTTCTGAATCAGGGGAAGTTCCAGGATCCATACCCTTGTTATTGATAGGTTCAATCAATGCTTCAACCACCTTCCCTGGAGGAACTGCAATACAAGGTTCCTCTGTATACTCACCTGACTTCTTTGTTATTTCAGTATCTTCTAAGGGGGGGTTATTTGCAACTTGTCCATTTAGAACAAGACCATCCTTGTCCAACTCATTGTTAAAAGATTCTGAATTGCCCAAAGCCACTGCTTCAGAAATTTTATCTTCAGCATTCCTGGCTACTTTCTGAGAACTTGAATCAGACCCCAAGTGGAAAGCAGATGCCAAGCCATCAACAGACTCTGGAATCAAGACATTTGAGCAATTTAAATCAACTTCTTTCCCGAATTTGATCTTCAGACGAACACGTGTAGTTAAAACAGGACACTTCTGTACTGGACTTATAGAGCTAGAACTTGCCCCATTCTTGACTGTTTTCCCACTTTGACGCTTGCTTTTAGCCTTCCCCAATTCTTGGCGTGCAGCTTCACCAACTCCAAGCTCATTATCTTGCTCAAAAAACTGTTCAATATTCCCAGATCCCCACATAGAATTACGAGCTGTGTTGGGGAAATGACTTCTTTTCTTTCTGGCAGCCTTTAGCTCCATACCTTCACTTGAATGTGTCTCCTTGGCTTTGTTCTTACATTTTTTTGAAGCCTTTTTGGTTTGTGTCTTACGGCCAAATTGAGTTCTTCGACGATTCCTCTGAGAAGGTAATGGTATGCTTTCATTGATACAATTAACTTCAACATCTTCTTTTCCATCATTATTCATCTTCCCTGGATTGTCCACAACATTATTATTATTATTAATGGAGACATCATCACAATGGAGATCAGGAACATCCTTTGAAGAGTAGTTGGTAACTAAAGCCTCACATGGCTGATCACTTCTGCTCTCTACTTCTGTAACTGTACATATCGCACCTGATGGAACTTCCATAACTGGAGAAGGAGTTATTAGCCTGCAAGCATCAGCTTCCATAGCAGGAGAAGGAGAATCAACTACAGGTGATCTCCCAACGGTCCTACAGCAACCAGGAGAGGACAAAATTTTTGCACATGAACTAATGTTGGTTTCTTCATCAACAAAAGCTTTAACCTTTTCTTCACAAGTACTATTCTTATCCTCACCTTCTTTCCAATCACATGGCTGATCACTTGTGCTGTCTATTTCTTTATCTGTATATAAAGCACCTGATGGCCCTTCCATAGCGGGAGAAGGAGATACCTGCCCGCAACCATCAGCTTCTGTCCCAATTAGAGCATCACATTTTTCCACAACATTCAACAAGGGATCTGCTCTTCTCATAATTTCCTCCTGCTCGCTGTGCTGGTTGCAATCAACTAGCAAGTCAGCCACGGAGTCCGATTCCAAAGACATTTCAGGATCCCTGAAATCAAGTACACAGTTGAAAGCATCAGCAGAAACACCGGCGTAGTCATTTTTGCCTTCCACGACAGCCGAATCATCTGCTGCAGGTAATTCGCTGCTCTTATCATCCATCTGCTCATCCTGCTGTGCACAATGCCCCTGCAAATCACTAGTCGTTATCGACCCCGACAGTGGGTCAAAGTTGCCCTCATCCAGAAAATTCCCCTCTGAGACACTTTTAAGACAGGGAACTTCAATGCTCCCGCAAGAAACCCCCAAGCAATTGAGACAATCATCTTCAGCAGTCTTCTCCAGCGGCAACAAACCAGTATTTTCACATCCACTCGCGGAACCCAAAGCATCACCAGACCCCTCAGAAACACGAACACAGCTTGCAGAACCCGCACCACCATCGGTCACAGTGGCGAGGTCAACATTAGAGTCAATCACATCGCAAGCCTCTCCCAAACAAGACTCCTCCACAGAAACCACCTGCGCCGGAATCCCAGAACACAAATGGTGCTCAGTAACAGACCCCCCAGAGGGACCATCGATGACAGCAGATCTCCCACACGACCCCATAACAATCATTCAAAAATCATCGATGGTAGCACACCACCACTAAACCCGTCACTCCCTGATTAACTTGGAAAAACCGAGAAACGCAGAAAGACAAAAGAATCAGCACAATGCATGACCTAAACGCAACCGGAACCAAACGGTACCAGAATTAAAGCAAAGTAGAGAAGACTACCTTCACGTGCAAACCATTGCCCGGAAAGAAAACCCTAGAAAGCGGCATTATCCAAAGACCCTCTGCACGGAAAGAGAGGAAACAATTAGATAAAGAAAACCCTACTCGCGGAAAATGCAGACGGTAACACGAGTTCCAAGGTGCAAATACGTTGAGCAAATAATAATAATAATAATAAATATATATATATAGCGTAAATTGAAAACAAAAAAAAAAAAGAGAAAGAGAAAAGAAAAACGAAAGCAGAAGCGAAGTGGATTGGAGATAGGACCTGGGTGAGATTGAAGATAAGGAGGTTAGGCTTAGGATTTCTGAAGAAAATAAATAGAAAAATGAGAAATATTCTTTTCCCTCTGGGTCTGGGTCTGGGTCCAAGAGAGAGAGAGAGAGAGAGAGTTGGGTCTGCGTCGCGCGCAGAGGAAAGAGAGAAAAGAAAGAGATGGTTGGTGAAGTTGTCAACGAAAACCAAATTAAAATAAAAACAAAAAATAAAACCCAAACGGTTTGAGAAACACAGCATAAACAAAAGAAAGGAAACCAAAGCCAAAGCCAGAGAGAGAAAGTGCTTCCTTTCTTTCTTTTGTTTCCGACCCAACCAAGATTTCTTTTTTTTTTTCTTTTTTCTTTTTTCAGTTTTTGCTGAATATTAATTATTATACTCTGGGAGGACCTAAATTCGATGTTGATTAGACCGTTTTACCCCACGCGCTTCGCATCATCACTCATCAATGTTTTTCTTTCCACACACTTTTTTTTCATCTATGTTTTGGTGGTGAATTGGTGATTAATTGATTATAGAAAAATAAATAAATTATTTAGTAATTATAAATTATTTTAAACGATTGAGATTTTGGATACTTCAATGTAAACACGCTAAGGACCAAAAAAATTGTCCCTATTGTCCTCCGTCTGTTCATATTCGTATTATTTGTGATCGGTTTGTAGTTTGTACATATCTTCTTGCTGATAATAAAATCAAAAAATATATATATATTTATCTTCGTCTTTTTTATTTTTGTGAATTGCATAGAATATATTTATCTTCGTGTTGATAACTTTATAGATGGTTGTTGGATACTAATAATTAGTTTCTTCACATTCAAAAATAAATTAGTTTCTTCCTAATATAAAAAGATTAAACAAAATCCTCTTAGTTTTAAGAATAATTTTAATGGCTAAATTATTTTTTCCTTTAAGAATCAATGCATTTTAAGAATAAAAAATAGAATTCCAAATAGACATATTGACGTAACAATTTTTTAAAATTTGTCAACGGGTTAAATGATTTTTTAATTATGTTCTCCAAAATAAAAAGGGAATTTCTGCATTTTTATCCTTGTATCAAATATATCAAATCAATTCTGCTTTAGGAATAATAATTATAATTATATAAAAAAAAAATCTATTGAATTCGAAGTGCTGACGTATGAGAAAGATGATAAAAAAATTATTAAAAAATTATAAATTATAAATTAAAAAAAAAATCACCGCATATTGTCAGGCTTAATGTATCTTTTATTTTGACAAGTAATGACCAATTAAGAGTATTTTGTTTAAACACTAAGTTGGTAGTGAGGTTTTTGGTCTAAAAAAATTTCAATATGTTATCGATGTTTTTAATAGTTTTAAAATTATCATTATCTATCTATCATATATATATATATATATATATATATATATATCTTTTCTCTAATATATTT